ATCACCACGTGCAACAAGATCACAACCAACTCTATCTAAGAAATCCATGGACAAAGGTAGAAAATTCACTATAATCATTAGCAAAGAAATATAAAACGATCTCACAAGACTACCTATCCCAAAATATGCGAGTCTCTCTCTATAAACTAGATCTTCCCACTTTGATTTTCTATCAATGCTATACAATATTTTGCTATGGTCTCACAAGTTTTTAAGGTTACACATCATGTGGTGTATATATATAGAGCCTATATCACATGGAATATATATATATATAGGATCCATTACAAGTGTTTTGGATGAAATACAACTCAAGAAACGAATCAGAATCGAAAAATAATTCCCTGGTCGGAACACACCGCTGTTCAAGAGCTCTCATAGTGCCAGGTGAAGCAAAATGCTGGCACCAGCGCTCCTGCTTCGTTTTTTTCACCCCGATGCTCGAACGCCAACTGGCAGTCTACTAGCGAAAGAACCTCGGCTTTTTCTCCCCAATCTATAATTTGATTTCTTCAAGCACTTCAATCAAAACTCCAAAATCAAATCTTCAATTATCCAAAGTCCTTTTACCAATCAAACTTTCAATCCTTGATAAGCTTTGATCCCTTTTTCAACCGGACTCCCAAACCAAGGACACTCTTGTTCTTTTTATTGGGAACGAATCAAAATCCCAATAAAAATTTGGGTCATACTCCAACATAAAGAAACTATCTTTCACGGAATAAGCTTGAGAGGAACTTACACGACCGCATTATAAATAGATCGTTCCAGAGATTAATCCTTCATAGTTTTCTGCTCAACAGATGATTTCTGAAATTTAAGTCTAAAATACCAATTTGAATATCTATGAACACTTATTAAAATTCTCATTCATGACTCCAGATAAAATTAGAGTTTCTACTGAGATTATAATTCTAGTAAATAAGCCATAAGACCAACCCGATCTGGGTCAGCCAGGAAACGGCTAAAAGGAATCACCAACACAATATCGGGACAACAGCCTTTTCCATGCTTCCATCAAGTAAGAAATCCTCAAGACTCAATTTTCTCTGATTATTTCCTTCCTCGTCCGTGGAAGATGTCTACGATAAGAACAAATGAGTGTATATAGTTTAACCTACATAAAAGTGTAACAATAGCATCATAATACGTAAAAGAAAGAATGACGCCATTTTAAGGTTTGATCTCATATATGGAAACACTAACCTTGCCGTAAATTTGATTCTGAACTGGACACTGTGCTTGTTTTTCATATTTCGATCAATAGTCCTCGAAAGCATCATGGATTACAGAGGCTGAATGTAAAAAAATTTATCATCTCTGATGACAACGGGTGATCAACTGCAAGGCAAAAAAATGATAACAGTTGGTCAATAGATGCAAGTGAACTTCAAAAATAAGGATATATAAAAGGATCTCTTTTTAAATTAACTGAATCAGATTTACATTTTAGTAGCACAGGATATGAGTGTGCAGAAATAGTGTTATTTTTTCGTTTCATACTTCTGAATTGATAGAAGTGAGTCAAAATATCTGGAGAATTTCCCAAGTGAACTTTTCTGTTTTTCTTCTTCATTTGTTCATCTCCTCTCTTATAGTCCGACTATACATACAAAAATAATTGCTGAAAAAAGTTTATGCATCTTACTATTAAGAATTAAAACAACATAATTTGCAGTTTAATTCATTGAGATAAACAAATGTTGTATCCGTGTTTACTATTTTGAAGTCAGAACGAAACAAGGACTAGCAAGACTAAAAAAGGAAGAATTATGCTAGTTGTACATTTTTGGATGCCATTATGGATGATATTGTGTGATGTGTGAAAAATTGAGTCATTGATTTGAATTAGTTTTGTTAAAATCAATGGCGCAAAGTATTGCCATGTCAAACAATGTCATCCGTGATGTTAAACTTAGTTTACCTATAGCAAGACTGAAAAAGAAAACAAGGCCATTATTTGCTAGGATTGTGTAACGAATAGTAAGTTATATACTTCATTATATACGCCTGCAAAGAATTATTATACACTGGTCGACACTACTAGCTAGCATTTATGTATACATGAAGATTCGACTAACTAAAAAAAATTGATTTACACATTTACACAGGTAACTCTTGTTCAGGACTTCCCATAGAACTATAAATTCTATATGCAATTTGACTCATATCAGGTCTTACTTCTGAATTTGCAAGCAAAGCAAGATTAGCTATATCAACCAAAACCCTAAACTGTTCAAGATTCACATCACCATTGAGTTTTGGATCCAACATTCCTACCAAAATTTCCACATTGTCACTTTTTCTGCAGTCCTCGGTCCATTCTGGTAAAGTGAATGAGCCTTGGACCGATCGCAGCCCTGTTATTAGCTCGAGAATTAACACTCCAAAACTGTAAACGTCACTCTTTGGGGATACTATACCCGTGTTGAGGTATTGTGTATCGACATAACCCAGTGAGCCCTTCACCACGGTTGGTGTATGTGCACTTTGTGCATCGTTGCCCAGCTTGCATAGTCCAAAATCAGCAAGTTTGGCATGATTATCGTCAATTAGGAGAATATTAGATGACTTGATATCACGATGTATGACGGCAGGATCTGCCACTGAATGAAGATAATCGAGGGCATAAGCAATGTCTAAGGCAATGCTTAAACGATTAGACCATGAGAGTATGCCTGAGGATTGGCCTTGGAAAGTGTGCATTCGATCAAAGAGGCTCTTGTTCGGGACATACTCCAAAAGAAGGAGTTGTTCTCCTGTTTCAATACGAATTAATTACTTCATCGCATGAAAAAATTGTTGAGAAAAGGTAACTGAAATGGAAAAAGATCGTGCAATCTTAATAGATCTATTTCATAATATGTACATATATTTTCACCAAGCATCATATTGTATTACAAGTAGAGATGCAAAGTTGGATTGGACTGACTCCAAAAAATTGATATGCCACCAAAGGTGCCAAATTAGACCAAGATGAAGTTTAATGTTTTAGGTACTAAAACCAGCCTTCTTCATATGAAGGTGAATATTGACAAGAAGTTTAAACTTTTAGATGGGGCGGTTCACAATTATTACCAAAAACGTAAAAAACAAAAATGAACATACCTTTCTCCAAGCAGAATCCCATCAACCCTACCAAATTTGGATGCCTTATCCTTAGCAAAACCGAAACTTCATCCAAGAACATCTTCTGGCTGCCTCCTCTTTCCTCCATGACTCGCTTCACAGCACCTAATTTTCCATCACCAAGCTCAGCAAGGTAAACATATGATGTTCCTCCAATGCCAATCCGAACACTAAAGTCATTTGTTGCCTCCTTCAACTCTTTCAGTGCATAAGTTCTTATAGCAGCGGATGGACAACAATTGATAATGCAATCTTCATTTTTGTTCGTCTGAATATCTACACGCTGATCATCTTCTTTATCAGAAGATTTATCATCTTGAGAAGCCAAATAAACAGCAAGCTTCCTCAAGATGATTGTGAGAATTATAACAAGTACTATTGCCCCAATAATCAAATAGCTTCTTGTATGTGCAGTGGAGAAACCAAGAAACCACATTTTTGTTTATGTTTGGACATGTTCCATTATGGTTTCTTTAATCATTTAAAACTATGAGTATGGGATGATGAGGACAAATTGTTTGGGTGGGTTTGGTGAAGAAGATTGGCGTGGCAGTTTAACGAAGATTCAGTGATTTGTATTTTTATGTTCAGAGAAGTAGATTAATATCTTGTGCATTAATGGAATAAATATGTGATGAGGGGTCGTTGTTTTGTCTTGTAATAAACAAGTCAAAAGAAGACTGGAACTTTTTGTTGACGGCTGAAATTTTTTGGTCCCATTGTAGGCTGCTTTCTGATTCTAACTTTTATCCCATATGATGTTGATGCAACTATGCTAAATTTCAGCAGCTAAAGTTAATGATGTCATACGAAATCTTACAAATATTTTCTCCCACATTATGATACATACAACTCATTTTTAATTTTGAGACAATATCTAGATTCTCTGAGCTTAATGATAATATTAGAGACACTCTTCAGGGACGGATCCAGGATTCGATCCAAAATCGGACTGTTACGTGGAAAAAAAAAATTTACACATAAAAAATTGATTTTTTACCAAAAAAAAAAAAAAAACCTTTAAAAAAATTTTTGAGTCAATGATGTCATACGAAATCTTATAAATATTTTCTCCTGCATTATGATACATACAAATCATTTTTAATTTTGAGACAATATCATAGATTCTCTGAGCTTAATGATAATATTAGAGACACTCTTCATATTTACAAATTCCATTAATCTCTGCTATTTATAATTTTGAGTATCACTTACATATTTTATAAGATGAGATTGACATACATAAAATACCAGTATGAAGAAGAAGAAGAAATTTTAAACAATAAATTGTAGTTAATTTTCTCAAACTTTAAGAGCCTAAATTGACGATTTATATATAGAACTCATTAACTCAAATTTTAATCATATAAATTTATTTATTTTGTTTATAAGTGGTTTTGTTTTTCTGAATATATATTTTTGTTTAAAAAATAATTATTTATTATTACAATAAAATATACAAAGCAGATATATGTTGAAATATTATAATGATTAATATATAAAATCAATATGGTATTCTATTATATAATATGGACGTCATTTAATTAATAAATTCAACAGTATATGTTATTTTAATGAAATCATACATTCTCACAATAATATATTTTGTACGTAAATTAATTTTTTTCTATTTTCAAATAATATATTATACAAAATTTACCATTAAAATTTTTTTTTTCTAATTTAATGATAGACAAAGAGGGGCTAGTTATTTTTTGAAGGTAGCAATGCACATGAAATAAAAAGTGGAATACTTGTAATACATTCCACAAAGTCAACTATTGAATTTCTTAGTCAAAAACTTTATGTCAAAACAAAACAAAACAGGATAAAAAAATGAATTTGGAAAAGTCAAGCGGTGGATTGGTTCTGTTCATTGGAAACTTAGCTGACGCCCAACGAAATCCATTAAAAAAAAAGAAAAATGAAAAATCACATTACAGTGAGAGAAAGAGGAGCGAGACAGTGGGGAACTTCAACAAATAAAGAAAAGAATATCCGAAAATTCGAAGAAGAAGAAGAAGAAGAAAACTGCGTTAACCATGGACTTATGTTATCCCTTTACTTGAGGTCGAATCATCTTTTGCTAAAACAGCAAGGTAAGAAATGAGATTGCAATTTCAGGAATCTGTATTTAATTTCTGCCAGAAATTGAGATGAAGTGGAGAACAAGGGCTTAATTGAATTGAAGAAGGAAGGGGGAAGGGGACGATAAGATGTTTAGGTAAGTATTTTATTGTTGTATGTCTTTGCAGCCTTTGAAAGGAAAATCAGCCGACAAAATGGGGGAGAAAGGCAGAATTTGTCCTGTTCCATACTTCTGGTTCAGCTCAAGGTGAGGAGAAATTACAGCTTCAGGGATTGGATAATAGTTTTGGGTGTGTGTGTGTGTGTGTGTGTAATTTTCTTACATTTTGATAACAAATAAAAGAAACGAAGATTTCATTCTGATTATGGCTTTCATTCACAAGTAAGAAATTGGATTGATTAGTTCCTCATTATAAGTGTCGTTTTTCAGGAAATAACAAGGAGATTGTAATAGCTTATCAACCTAGTTAATCTCTGTCTAGAACATAGTTATGTGAAGTGGAAAGCTTAAAATATTTTCAGATGTTAATAAATGATTTATATTATTATGTTACGTGCAAGTACGTGAATTACTTGTTCAAATATATGATTATTATGAAAGGTTATCTATAATTACAAAGATTGTAAATTGATTACTTGTAAATTGGAATATGAGACATGGGTGATAGTGAAATCAACCGCAAAAGTACTCGTAATTATATATATCTTCTAGTTCATTAAGGGCCTTTGCTGTGTTCTATACCACATGAAAGAGTCTTGATCGTGCATTAAAGGATCTTGATTATGTACATATTGCTCACTAAGGGGTCTTGGTTGTGTTCTAGAATTGATTATTACAAGTCTTTTGTTCGTGGAGGGGGCTTGAGACCTGTGTCGAAAGTGCTTAGCTTGAGGGGCAATCTACGCGCGTATGACAAGATTATACATTTCAATCAGAGGGTACATTTTTGATGATTTCTCATCATATTGTGATGAGAAAACTTGTTTTCTGTGTAATTACTTTCTAATTCAAGCAAGTAAACTTGTTTTCTGTGTAATTATTTCCCAATCAGCACCGACATTTGGGCCGTAATACCTCCATGTAGAAACAAAACAGTTTGAAATCTATCTTATTTAGCATGGGCCTGCTACTTGTAATAAATAAATGCAGTTCAGATTAACAGATAGAGAATTAAATGATGAATTGTACGTACATTTTTCTTAAGAAAATTTGGCTTTCTGAAGCATGTTTCCTAATATACAATTTAGTTAACAATTTGTGGAGCATAATCATAATATGTACTTATTCCTTCACCATGTTTGCTTTGGCTATTTTCTTAATACACATACAGATGCCACTCAAAAGAAAGTTGAAGCATGTGTTACCCATAAGATCTGCTGCTCCAAACTCCGGCAATGGGAGCCCATCTTCTCGTGGACAAGGAGAGCACTCTAATTCTGTGTCAACACCTTCTACAACTCAATCAGGTATAAACACGACAACTCAATCTATTGTAGATCCTACTACTGTTGCAAGTACTACTGAGCAAGATGCATCCAATAATATGCATTTTATAATTTTAAATATAATGTAGATTGATTCACCAACATTAATTTTCTTTAAATATCTTTTAACCCCTCTTTATTAAGAAAAACATGGAATTAATCGTGGATTGACGGAATAATGGATGCAAATAAGAAAAAACTTGTACAAGCCAGGGAGGGACACATTTAGTGAAACATCTTGTCCATTTGCCAATTAGATTTGCATCATCATGTAAAACATTGTTTCGCAGTGCTTGACAGGTTGGTATGTAGCAACCCATGATAGGGAACTAGCCTACGACTGACTTAGGTAAGTTATGTTTGAATTTTCATTGAGCATCTTGTTTTAATAGTTGCTCAGCTCGAGTGTTTATATGTTAAACTAGATGTTAGATATCAATATTTTAATTTTTAAAATGTTGTCTATTGTAAAATTTAGATGGATATCTTTTTATCTAGATGGAAGATACTTTATTGACTTGGAAAATTAGAGTAAAACTTTAACTGAGAAAAACTGGAGATTCAGTAGGTGAAGTTTAAGCTTTTAAAATCTTTAACTATGGGTGCTAATTTGCTCATAAAGATCCACCTTGGCACAACTGATTTGATGAGAGACTCTGAATTTTTTTATGTAGATATAAAGTTATAATTTTTGTATTTGTTTCATTTTTATTGGAGCGTTGATTTTCTCCTACAGCCCCCATTAGCTCTTATAGTGTCTGCATCTTTTTTATCTTCTCAAAACCCTATTATTATTATTATTATTATTATTATTATTATTATTATTATTATTATTATTTATTTATTTATTTATTTATTTTTTAATCAAAGACATAGTGGACTTGGACCTCGTGTTCTTAAGAATAATTGCTAAGTGGATTTTCTTAAGATTAGATTGTGGCCCTGTTTGAGCCCAATTCTTTGGAAAAAAACATTTTTAAATAGTGATTTATCATTTCAACCATAAATTTTTCAATAAAATAATATTACCTGCAAATTCATAATTTTTCCTTATTTTTTAATCACACATTCTCCATCAATCTACTATTTCAAACTAAATTCTTTAAAAATAATTTGGCTCAAATGTTAAATGTGACATTAATTTGTAATCTTAGGAAATAAATAAGGTTACATGCACTTGAAGAAAATGTATCAGGAAAATACATGATGCACTTGAAGAAAATGTATCAGAAAAATACATGATGCAAATTCATGAATTATTAGGTGTCCATTTATATTCCCATGTCTCTAGAGTTATCCATGTGGTCCTATAAATAGAGGTCATTCTTGTAGTCTCATTGTAAGAAAAAAAAGAAGAAAACATTATTGAGTGTGCTGTAGCAACTCAAAAACTATCAATAAAAATTCAAGTTTTTCTTCAACACTTCGTTTCCGCACTAACAAATTTGGTATCAGAGCCATAACTTGTGAATGCATTTTTTCATGGCTTTCATACAAACAGCTTCGTTGTTTACATATTCTTCCAGTCAAGTCCCAATCTTCGAAGGTGAGCATTATGAATACTGGAGCATCCAAATGCAAACTTTCTTCATCTCCTTAGATCTTTGGGATGTCATTGACGATGAGGAGTACGAAGAACCATCCGAAGACAATGAAGATTACGAAAAATTGCAAAAAGAATTTAAAAGAAAAGATGCAATGGCTCTCCGCTATATTCAACAAGGAGTCGGGAAATCAATTTTCCCTCGTATCTTTGGTGTTAAAAAAGCCAAAGATGCTTGGGAAATATTGATGCAAGAATTTCAAGGAACGGAGAAAACGATCGCCTTGAAACTTCAATTCTTATGGAGAGACTTTGATAATCTCCAAATGGAAGAACGAGAATCGATTCATGTTTTTTCTTCACGAGTAGCCGAGACAGTAAATCAAATCAAAAGCTGTGGTGACACAATTACAGATAAAAGAGTCGTGGAGAAAATGTTAAGATGCCTTCCTCCAAAGTTTGACCATGTTGCAGCCGCAATTGAAGAATCGAAAGACTTGTCCAAAATGACCATTTATGAGTTAACCGGGTCACTTCTTGCCCATGAGCAAAGGATCAATCGTTCGAGTAACCAATCCACTACCGAACAAGCTTTCCAATCAAAGCAAACATCAAAAGGAGGATCGAACAACTATGGAGAACACAACAGAGGCTCAAATCAAACAAAACAAAAAGATAGCTATTGGAAGAAGGGTGACAAGCAAAGCAAATGGAAAGGCAAGCAAACACAAATTTCTGGTGGTAACAATCCAACTTGCATAATTTGCAAAAAAATGAATCATGAATCAAAGGAGTGCTACTTTAGATGCAAAAGGTGCAAGATCCCCAATCATTCTCAAAGGGATTGTTGGTTTCAAAATAAAGAGATGACAGAAAGAAAAAGTGCAGCAAACTTTTCTCAAGAGAATGAAAAGGAAATTCTGTTTTATTCTCAAAATTATGAAAATGGAGCTCAAAGCCCTTGGTATTTGGATAGCGGTTGTAGCAATCACATGACGGGGAATCGCGACATCTTTGTGGACCTTAATCCAAATATTACTTCACAAGTAATTCTTGGCGATGGAACATGTAGAGATGCGGTAGGAAAAGGCACCATTGCTGTCCAAATTAAAGAAGGTAACAAGAAACTCATCACAGATGTTCTTTATGTTCCCAATCTTTCTCATAATCTCCTAAGTGTTGGACAACTTATTCAAAGTGACTTCTCTGTCCACTTTGATGATGGTGCATGTAAAGTTTTTGACAAAAAGAAAAATATTTGTGTGGCAAATATTGAAATGAAGAACAAGACATTTCCTCTTATGATGCCACTAAATGAGAATTGTGCACTCAAGGCAAGAGACGAAGATTTGGCGTATTTGTGGCATTTACGATATGGTCATCTTCATGAAAGAGGCCTTCGTTTACTCCAAATGAAAAACATGGTGACGGGACTTCCTAACATCCAACACATAGACAAAATGTGCGAAGGATGCATCTATGGGAAATTGCACAAGTTGTCGTTTCCAAAAACTTCATGGAGAACGAAACACCACTTGAGCTTGTGCACTCGGATATTTGTGGGCCAATGCAAACTCCCACTTTTGGAAACAAGAGATATTTTATTCTCTTTGTTGATGACTTCACAAGAATGATATGGGTTTTCTTCCTCAGTCAAAAATCTGAGGCATATTCCACATTTCTTCAATTCAAAGCTCAAGCAGAAAGGCAAAGTGGTTTTTTGATAAAAACTTTAAGGACCGATCGTGGAGGTGAATATCTCTATAATCCTTTCATGGAATATTGCA